TTTTATACATTAGAAAATATCTAAAATTTTCTTTTTAATGACACATAAGATATTTTTTAATTTTATATTATTTATAAAAAAATATATTTAAAATTTTATTTAATTATCAAAAACTTTTAAAATTTAAATAAATGACCACTTCATATATATTATTTAGTTATCAAAATATATATCTACATGGATAATTTTTAAATTATTAGCAATAAAATCTAATTTAGATATATTATTTTTAAAAAATGGATTGTTAATAATCTAAATATATATATTTTAAATTTAAAAATATCATAGATATATTATCCTCTAAAATTGATTTATAAAATAATTATATTTAATAAATATTTAAATTCAAAACAAAAATCTATCAAAGATTAAAAATTTTGTATAAATTTTGAATTCAAAAATATCAAATTAAGAAGTTATCTTTTTTTTTTTTTAATTTAACTAAATTTTAAGAATATATAAATATATATATATATATATATATGGATCATAAATTTTGAATGGGTATTTCCGTTAAAAGTGATTAGATTTATCTTGTATTATTGTAAATTGGAAAGACAAGTTTATTTTTTAATTCCCTTTATCATTAGATTATTTTAATGATAAAGCAAGAACGACTGATAAAGTAAGAACAAACTCATCATTTTAAGAATTTAGAGAATTAAATTTTGGCATGCAAGAATTTGGAGCTTAATATTCAAACGCACACCTCGCTCGCAAGCTCCAAACCATCATCATCAATAAAGTTAGGTAGTTGAGATTTTTAGTTCCTATAAAAATTTAATTTTTCTTTTTCTTTTTCTTAATAAAATTGCTTAAAAAGCTGTTCTTGCTGTGAAATATTTCAATTTTTTTGTTTTGCATTTCCTTGAATGTGGAGATATTAAAAATAAGTTTTGTTTGAATACACAGGGGACAATGAGCATAGGTGTAGTTGCTGGTAATTTCATGTAGTTTTTCAGGAATTTACCAACTAGAGAATGGATAAATACATTTTATGCATTGAAATAATTGTATTATTGGCTTCCAAAATTAATCTAATATACCTAATATATGTTATATTATAACATAGAAGGTTACAAAGCAAAAATTATTTATGTAGATTTTTAGGTGGATAATTTTTTTTACAGGCAAAAAAATTTCTAAAATTTTCTATAATGACAAGTAAAATATTTTTCTAATTTTAAGTTATTTGTTAAAAAAATTAAAATTTTATTTAATTATTCAAATTTTTTAAAATTTAAATAAATAACTACTTCGTATATATTATTTAATTATCCAAATATATATATACATGAATAATTTTTAAATAATTAATAACAAAATCTAATAAATAAGTAAATTTATTCTAATATTTACAATAATAAAAATAAATATATATCTAATTTGTTATTATGCATACATATTTAAATAAAGTAGATGGAGAAGTAGTTGTGGGATATGGACTGCTTTGGGGTTTAGACTGTTTGCTTTCTTTTTTTCTTATCTTTTCTTTTTTTAGGGTTTAGTCCAACTCCAACCAGGATTTGACCCACTGACTTTCTGTCAAGTTTTATGACCGAATGGCTGCAGAAATGGATTTGAAAATGTCATCATTGTTCAAGAACTTATACATTCCTTCAAGAGAAAGAAAGGTAGAATCGGGTTTATGGCAATGAAGCTCGACCTGAAAAAGTCATATAATAGGATGGGAGGGAATTTTGTCAGGAAAGTCCTCCCTTTCTTCAATCTCCCCCAACCTTGGATTTCACTTATAATGAGTTGTATATCAACTTCTTCCATTTCTTTATCAATCAATGGTGGAGTTTTTTATAAGTTCCAGCCAACTAGAAGAGACGACATTACTGACTAGCTGGACATCAGGGAGACTGTGGAGCCGGGTAAATACTTAGATTTTCCCCGCCATAAAGCTAGAGTTAATAAACATGACTACACTTTTATCATCAATAAGGTTAGAGCCAAAATGGCTGGTCGGAAAGCCCGCCTCCTTTCCCCTGCGGGGAGGCTCATTTTAATTAACTCTGTCATGGAGTCCATTCTTTCGTACTATAGGCAATGTAGAGCTCTCCCCAAAAGCATAGGTAATGAGTTAGATAGGCTTAGTAGAAACTCCCTTTGGGGAGACGCAGATCAGAAAAAGAAAGTCCTCCTTCTGAATTGGAAGGAGATCACGAAGTGCAAAAAAGACGGGGGACTGAGAGCGCTCCCAGCAAAACTAATATGGTGATTCTTAAATGAGGAGAAAATATGGACTAAGACACTCCAAGCAAAGTACCCCCAGGAAGGAAACAACAACAGGCCACAGGCCATGTTTCTTGGCCTCAGTGACTTTGGTAGCATTGAGAGGGGCTGGCAAACTTGTGGAAAGGCGAATGGGTTGGATTATCCGGAACTGTACAACCACCAATTTCTGGCATGACAATTGGACTGGGTTGGGGGGAATAAGGCCCCCATTCATGGGCCTTCTAAAATTAACGAGGAGATGAAGAAAGTTAAGCACTTCTTGGATCATGTTCGACTATCCCAAGTTAGCCCAATCTCATTCCAGCTACCTTCCAGTATTTTAGATGCTATAAGGGCTATACCGAGCCAACTTATGGAGCAACGGCAAGATTCAATCTATTGGACAGCGTCCAAAAGCGGTTTGTTTACCACCCAATCTGCATACAACATTATCAAAGGAGTTTCCAATGAACCTAGGGGCTAGGAATGGAATTGGATCTGGAAACTCAAAACCCTCCCCAAGCTCCAGTTTTTTTTTTTGGAAATGTGTGTATGGAGTCCTCTCTAGACGATCCTTTCTTATTCGACGTGGGCTAAACATTCAAGATGTCTGTGTCTTTGGCAACCAACATCCTGAAATATCGAACACAATTTCATGCAGTGCCAGTGGGTCAGAAACATCTGGAATAGCCTCTGAGAGGTGGGAAATATTTTTTCAAGGTAGGATCTTGAGGTGGGGGAGTGGATTAAGAGGAACGCTATCAACAACATGGAATCTACCATAATGGAATCCCTTGGATACTGTAATTCATTCACATTCTTTGGGAAATATGGAGGGAACGAAACAACTTCATATTCAGAAGCACTAGAAGTGGAAGTAACATCACAAGACGAGCAGCGAAGAGTGCTGGGGAATTCTTTGCAATGAACCAAAAGGAGCTCAGGGGTGCTTCTAATTCTTGTTTTCTTTTTCTTTGGAACCCACCTGGGAGGAGTTGGTTTAAACTGAACACTGATGGATCAGCTCTTACAAATCCGGGTAAAACGGGTGCTGGGGCGTTTATTCGGGGATCATAATGGGCAGTGGGTTGGGGAATCCTCCCGATTCATTGGAGTTGGTTCTGACGTGCTGGCCAAAATATGGGCTCTTAGGAATGGTTTACTCCTTGCAAAAAATCTTAACCTTAGGAACCTTGAAATTGAGCTTGATGCATCTACTGTTATATCTATGATTAAGAGTCAAGAGGTGCGTAATCCTATGTTTCAACCTCCCATTTCTGATTCCAGACAACTACTGAAGGAGCTTGACAACTAGAAGATATGGCATCTCTTTAGGGAAGGCAATAGATGTGCTGGTACACTTGCGGTGTTTGGTAGCAGCAAAGTTTGTAATAGCTGTTTTGGCAATGACGCCCCTTTTGTTTCTTTTCTGGAACCTCCAAACTTTGTTCTTGATCTACTACAGGAAGATGCAGGAGGAACCTTTGTGTACCACACTCTATCTTAATTTTACTTGTCTCCCCATTTTTTGCACCAAAAAAATTTTTTTACAGGGTATAAATATGCTTTTATGGCGTTTTATTGTGTATTTTTTTTTTATCTCTGCTCAGGTATCATTTTTTCTTGCAGGTGGTAAGTGTCTTTTGTGCTATTTACCTGCTATGAACCTTTTCTAGGTGAATTTACAGGATATTTAGTTATTGATTTGTTGAAAAGGGTTGACTATAACGCAGAAAGGAAGAGTTACAATGGGATAATAGAAGAAATTGGTGCAGATCCTTTGGATTTCAGTTGGGATTTAATTCTAAGAATCTCCACAAGGGCAGTGGCTGCTGTTTTGGAATGAAGATGGTTTAGATTTAGCGCAGGAATCATTTGTTGTGTAGTTTGGTAATGGCAATTTGCATATAAATGTTAGAATAACGGCATGATTTCCTTAAACTGTTTCCATTAAAGCTATATTTTTGTCAAATATTTATAAATGTAGACTTATTGGCATGTTGCGTATATTCTTGCTTTTATCTTATAGTGATAATAATTCGATTAGAATAAAATTTAATTTAATTTTTTAAATATTATATAATATTATAAAATTTTAAATTTTAATTTAAATTTAAATTAAATTTTTATTCAATTTATATCGAATCGAATCAAATTAAATTTTATTAATTTAGTTTGATTTGATTTATAAATTTTTAATTTTTATAAATTATTTTAATATAAAATTTTAATATATTTGAATAAATTTTAATATAAAATTATTATTTTTATTTTATAAAAATTTAAAATATAAATAAATTAAAAAAATAAAATTAGATTTTTTATTTAAAATTTAATCTAAACTTAACATATATTTAATATTTAAATTAATAAAAAAATTAAATTAAATTAAATTAAATACTATAATTTTAAATCAATTTTATTTTATTTTATTTTTTTCATCCATGCCTGCATCTAAGGGTTGCATCACCCCTTTTACCTTAATAACAATATGCCTACATTATTTGCCCAAATATTTCGAGAAATAAAACAAATTAAAAAAGAAAAAGGAAAATTTAGAAATCAGAACCGCTAGATAACCACACCTGCCTCATTATTCCTTTGTACCTTTTTAGGTACATGATGCGACCTGCCAGCTGTCCTCCCTAGTCATTCAGCATGTAGATTAATTCTTGTTACAAATGGCAATGAACCAATGGTTTTCTTTTGTTGCCTCTAGGTACATTAAAGTTCGTTTTTTCATGTGGATAAGGTGTCACTCTTTCTTTAAGGTACCTTCTCATTTCCAAATAAAAACAAAAGTTGAGCTGTAGTTGTCAAAAATCCAAGTTCACCATGCTTCATGTGCTTGAACTTTATCTCTCCCATAAGATAAGATAAAGTGTGTGTCTTAGAGATAATGATGTCTTTTCAAGACACAGAAAGTTGATAGCTTCAGCAATTTGCAGGACATGAAAACCCATTTTTTCCTTTCTCTGCCAGAGTTAGCTTGCGGCAAGTAAACATATATACTGTTTCTTGAAAATCAGGTTTGAGATTGATGAATCTGTAATGGCCAATTACAGCTCCAGCTATTATAATGCTAATTTTGGTGAGTATTATCAAACTCCTTATGATAGTAGCCATTATTTTTTTTCATCAGAAGCCTTAGCAGGTCATTCTAGCTACGCATATAACGATTACTGTTCTTTCGAGTATGATTCAGCTCCTTGTTATGGTGATTATGATCCCAATATTGGTCACTCAACAGTTGCATACTCTTCATACACTTGCAGTGAGCCTAACTACGTTGAGTATGGCCTAGACCCTTATGGTGGGGATTATAGTACTGTTAAGACTCGGTTTATTGTCTCATATTCTGTATCAGAGTTCAATGAGACTGAATTTGAAGAGTATGATCCAACGCCTTATGGGGGTGGTTATGATCCTGATACAACATATGGCAAACCTCTGCCCCCTTCCGAGGGGATCTGTTACCCACGCTCATCAATGGATCCAAATGATCTATCCTTGAGTAATTTTTCTTATGGGTCCATCGAGTCGCCTTATGGGAAAGGAGTTGATGAACCTGTAGAAAAACCTAGCAATGGAAGCAAAACAGCAACAGCCAAAGATCAAGAGCAGCAATCCCAGGGTAGTGGTGAAGATGATAATATAGGTTCCAATGGCAAGCCTGTAGAGTCGTACCGAGGTGAAGATAGTAAGGAAGATTATTATGATGGTTATTCATCTCATGTAAATGGAGCAATTGGAGATAATGGAACTGAATATGAAAAAATGGTGCCTCAAATTCCCCCAGGGTATGGCTTGGAAGCAATGGACCTTTGTGAAAGTTTGTTTGGTTACTGGCCCTGCTTGACTCGTGCAAAAAGAGAGAATGATTATCGGAATTGTCATGGTCCTCGTGGAGTTAGTAGTAAATGGAGCAACGACAACAGCCTTTGGGAGGGAACTGCAGATTATCTTTTTGGTAATTCATATCCTTATGGTGAAAGATGGGGCAACGGAGGTATTTACGAGAATCCCATCTTTAATTATGAAAGGCATTATCAGGGACAACATCTATCTAATACAGGTGGAGTATCATGAGGAATATTCATGGCTGAATTAATTCTTTCTTTTCTTTAAGCCAAAATAGTCCCAATAAATAAAACTGTAATAAAGGTTGTACTTTGTAGCAGCATGAACAATTCTATCTGCAAGTATTTCCTTCATGACTCCCACAAGATCCAACTGTAATAAAGTTTGTACTTGTATACAGCTGTTCTTGAATAATTCTTAAGTACTGCTTCAAATGTTTGGAAACAATCTACTTGATGTAGAATCTATCAAATTATAGATGATGTTCAAAGAAATTGATTCATATGTTCAGGTCTTGCTCAAATATTGAACCTCAGATAATTTGCTAGTTATATAAATCATGAAAAACTCTTTCCCAATAATGGTGATAAAAAAAGAAAAAGTTTTTTTTAAAGAGGAAATGAGGTTGTAGAACTCTCTAAATAAGAGATAAAAACTGTTGTCATGCATCCGCGGCAATTTAAAGACATGATAATTATGGAGCAAAATAATAGGAAATAGTACAGGGCGCAACTTCAAGCCTGTTAGGTTTTTATTTAAAGGTAAAACCTATTAGTTGAGAATGCTTACGGGGTTACCAACATCATACTCTTATCAGTGCCTAAAAACTTTTATCAGCTTAATCTCTGATAGTGATTATATACAACATACAGTCGCAAACTTGTACAAATTCTTCAGTTTAATGCATAAACAAAAATGCAGAGATGAAGCTAAAAATGAATGTTGTATATAATCACTATCAGAGATGAAGAAATAAACAACAGCGTGTGAGATTGAAACTAAAAATGCATAAACAAAAAATGCAGCATAAAAATTTCTACAGTTATAATTGAAAAGTTACTAGCATGAACTTTAATTAAAGGAAAATTTGTCCGGAACAAACAAAGGAAGATGACGAAGAGTGGGGAGGATGGGGTCAAGTCAAAAAAAGCAGCTGGCATTCCCATCAATACATTTACAATAATATCATTAGGAGAGCAGCAAAAGTCATCAAAAGAAGGAAAGTAATTCTAATAATTCTTGTTTATTTAAATCATTTTGTTTATTAATTTGGCAACAGATTAATTACCTTAATTCGAAATCTTATTAGTTTTTTTTTAATCTGTTACCTGTCAAAGGCTCATGTTTTAAGGCAGTTAAGTAACTATCGTCATCAGTGATTTACTCAAAACTAGTATTAGAAAGTAAAAATTAAGATAATGGGTTATCAAATCATTTAAAAAAAAAAAAGAATTAGCTAAGAGACACTCTTTCCAGTATTTAAATTAAATTTATAAACAACATATTCAAAAGAATTTTTATAAAAAAAAAAAAATCAAATCCAAATCTTATAAATAAAATATTTTATTCTTATCAACTTTAACAAACTCCTACTTAACAGGCGGATTACCAAATTCTACTACTAACAAAAGAAACTAAAATACAAAGCAGAAATAATGATAGGAAAGCTGTGTCAAACCTTGTAATTGCACGCTGGGATATGTAGCTGTTGCCTCTTATCATTGTTGGTCGACTTAACTTAGTGATAAACTGTTGTTTATTGTTCTCAGATTCCTTTTACAAACTTTATGGTAACTTTAAAATTTCCAAATCACCCTCCCAATATGTTCATTTTCACATGAAAACACCAAAACAAAAGAGATTGAGAAAAGGTAATCAGGTCAATATAAATTAAAAATTGACAGCATAGAAATGGAGTAGTTCTTCCTGGCCATTTGTAGCACTAGCCCTAAAAAACAACCTTCAATTAAAAATTTTATGTTAACGAAAAAATTAAAAAGTTAAACTCCTGAAAAAACCTCAGCATCCCAAGTTCTGTCTCTGTCTTTCAAAATCCTCCTAACAATGTCTTTATCTCTGAAAATTCTGACACCCATATCTTTATACAGTACTTTCTTTCTTCTCCTCCCTTTGATATACACCTTCTCCATACAAGATCTCCTTCAGAGTCAAGGCTTGCCTGCTGGTCTCTTCCCAGACAATGTGATATCCTACAAACTTGATCCCGATGGTCGCCTGGAAGTGCACCTGGACAGCCCCTGCATGGCCAAATTTGATGGGAGAGTGTACTTTGACCGTGTAGTGAGTGCTAACCTTAGCTATGGTGGGCTTGTGGGGCTTGAAGGTCTCTCTGAGGAAGAGCTATTTTTGTGGTTGCCTGTTAAAGGTATCATAGTCAATGATCCTTCCTCCGGGCTTATTTTGTTTGATATTGGTGTTGCTCATAAACAACTCTCTATTTCTCTCTTTGAAGACCCTCCTGTTTGCAAGCCTCTAGGTATTCTTTTTCTCTCAGATCCTTAGTAGTTTTGTTAGGTTTTTTCATGATTTATTCGGAGCATGAATTTGTTTATAATTACTGGTTTCTTTTATTCTGCTTATTTCCTCTGTTTTGGTGACAGAGAAATTCTTGGAAAACATGTAATAATTTTTTTCTTAAAAAATCATGAAAAAGTATTGAAAATAATTAGTCTAGATCTTTAAATTTATTTTGTTTTCTGATCAGGATTGTGTTAGTGATTATGTTTGACAGAATCTTGTGTATTAAGTGTTCTTAAATCAACAAAAAATGGCTGTTAAATGCAGAAGTTCTGACAGAAAAGGTTGGAAGGAAGAAGAAGCGATTTCAAGTTCAGAAATGATTTCATTGCTTTTACTTCATTGTTGAAGAGAATTTTGTTTCATTGTGTTTTCTTTTGCTTTTTCTTCTTTCTATCTTTGTTTTTTTTTTTTCGAATTTCACCAAAACAAGATATGGAATAGAGTTTGTGGATGGTATTTGTTGGGTTGTAAAGATGAAACATGGAACTTCCGATTTTTTTTTTTTTTTTTTGCTGATATCAACCACCACATTACTGTGCTATTCCAAAGAGAATTTTGACTTATTAGCAGCACTTCATAACTGAAGATACAAGATTCTCTTGAGCCTGTTTAGATTTGTACTTGACATTACTATTGAGTAAATTAATAGAGCCACTTAGTTTTCTTTGAATCAGTTAACTGAAGATAGTGCCACCAGCAACCAGGCATTTGCTTGAAAATCAGATAAACTATAGTTAGCATCATAATTATGTGAGCTCCATAGTTTTACAGATAAATATTCAATTCATAGGCTTTCAAAATGGTAGGACACTGCCAAATTATTGTATCCAAACCTCAAAACATTAAAATTTTGAAATAATTAATGTATATTAAAGTACTCTATCATGTTCTAAGGTTGTGTGATTTTAAAATTTCTACCAAGCACTTGTCTAAATATCAAAATCTATCCTCCATCCTAAACAATATAAGAAGTTTGAAAAGAATTAATTTATGTATCTTAACACTCAAGCAAGGGTTTTGAAAACTAGGTATGGACTTCTTGGTTCCTTGTTGTGACGCGAAGGTAGCAAACAACTGACACCACCACAAGCCATCACAAATCCTCCATGGATGACATCACTAACATCCAAGTTACATCACGAATTGAACTTTTAAACTGAATCTTACATAATCAACTTTGTATTTTATAGTTGCTCTATATTGCGAAAATAAATTGTATGATTTTGGCATGTGTCAGTTCTCTCTGTGCAATCTCAATATGAAAAAGGAAAAACTGGGAAATCAAAGCACAACAACCCTTCTATTAGTGTTGCTTGAACTTGAGTGATACTTGGTGGTTCTTCTCCAGTGCCTATGTGGTACTGATGAGTTGATGAATGATGGCAATCCCTGTACGCTTGTGTAGCGTGATGACCAGACTTGACTAAAATTGGAATATGATCTATTTTCTAGTACTATGTTATCAACTGGACCATCCTACAATAGGATGGATGGGGTTTGGCTCCTATGTTATCAACTGGACCATTCTACAATAGGATGGATGGGGTTTCTTTTGAATATTGTTTCGGTGCTCAGCAGTATGCAACAAACCTTCTAATTCCAGCGCGACTTTTTCGCATTCACTGGTCACTGCATTTAAAAAGATCGAATTAAGCATCATTTGTACAATAGCATATTGACATTGGAAGCTAAAAGTCCGTCCGTCTTGATATAACTCTGCTCATCTTTATGCACTGTACTAATCTTCTTAGCGGCGGCAAAGTGAAAATACAACTGGTTAACGATGAAACAAAACTCACTAAGCTGTGAAAGATGTTTAATTTATTGTAAGAGTTTTTTCAATGATCGAAGTATATATCTGTCTTCTAGCAAAGTGATATAAGATATTCACATTCAGATGTTCTTCAATGCAAGTGAAAAAAAAAAAAAAAAAAGGTTGTTGCTTAGAAATCCGTCTTTCATTTAGGCCAGCCAAGTGATTAGTTCAGCTATTACCAAGTACAAAATGTACGAGGTTTGCTGGGGCAGATATGAATTCCCTTCCACTTTGAAGTTTGAAGCAAAAAAACTGACCACAGTGGGCTAAGGACAAAGGTGCGCATGCCATGCCAAAGTCGCAATTATTTTGTGAAGTTCAAAAAATTTGTAACTTCTTGGTTTTTTTACTGACAAGGTAAATCATAAATGCATTTGTTAGTAATTTTATCCCCATGAATTAGTACTTGTCTTTTTTTTTTGCTAAATGTAACAGCTTGTTTTGAATTTAACCCCTTAAATCAATAGCTTTTTTCGCGATAAAAGGAAAAATCAAAATCGAACAAAACAATTTAATATTATATCAAAAATTATAATTTAAAATTACTAATAATTAAATTATTTTAATAATTTTATTATTAAATAATTAAATTATCATAATAATCATAAAAATATACCTAATTTATAAATCTTTCCTTTTCTTTCTTTTCCTTTCTTTTCCTTTTCCTTCCTTTATTAGTATCAACATAGCATAAAAGAAAAAACCAACAATTAATCCAAAAACTTCTAACCCTCTAAACCCTGAATCTACAGCCCTACAGACAGGACCCTTACGTCCCTCTCTAAACTCCTAAAAAATGTCATCTTTAACTCGCGTCCTCCGCCGCACCTTCTCGACAACCCCAATCCCAAAACCCTCCTCCGTTCGAATGTTCGCCGCTGATCTTTACAAAGAACGTAACCTCGAGCTTCTCGTCGAAAAATTCAAAAAATATTGCGAACACGGCCGCTTCCGCAACCGAAACGGCATCTATGAAGACACGGTTCGCCGCCTTGCTTCAGCTGGACGCTTCCGCTGGATCGAAGAAATCCTCGAAGATCAAAAGAAATACAAAGACATTTCCAAAGAAGGCTTTGCTGCTAGATTAATCCATTTGTATGGAAAAGCCGGTATGTTTGCGCAAGCTTACAAGGTGTTTGATGAAATGCCGAATAGAGGGTTGTTGTCTTTCAATGCTCTTATGGGAGCTTGTGTCAATGCCAAAAAGTTTGATAAGGTTACTGGATTTTTCAAGGAGTTGCCCGAAAAGTTGTCAATTGAGCCAGATTTGGTTTCTTATAATACGGTTATTAAGGCTTTTTGTGAGATGGGTTCTTTAGATTCAGCTAGTTTGATGCTTGATGAGATGGAGAAGAAGGGCGTGCAGCCGGATTTGATTACTTTTAACACGCTTTTAGATGGGTTTTTTAAGAAGGGAAGGTTTGTTGATGGGGAGAAGATATGGAGTAAAATGGTGGATAAAAATGTGGAGCCTGATATTAGGAGTTATAATACTAAGTTGCTTGGATTGGTAACTGAAAAGAGAATGGAAGAGGCAGTTAACTTGGTTGAAGAAATGAGGAGTAAAGGAGGTAAACTTGATGTGTTTACCTTCAATTATATGATTAGAGGGTTTGTTAACGAGGGAAAATTGGAAGAAGTTAAAGATTGGTATAGTCAAATAGGGAAAAATGATTGTGCACCGGATAAGCTGACTTTTACAATGCTAGTCCCTTTCCTTTGTGAGAAGGGTGATTTGAGGTTTGCCATTGAGGTGTGCAAGGAGATTTTTGGTGGGAAGAAATTGGTTGGTGCTGCGTTGTTGCAGCGTGTGGTGGACGAATTGGTCAAAGCCTCCAAGATTGAAGATGCAAAGGAGATTGTGGAGCTTGGGAAGTCGAATACTTTCTGTCATTATAAGCTGAATATGCCTGCAGAGTAGTGCCATCGTCTTATTAATGCTACTTTGTTTTCATTTTAGATATTGAATCTGAATGAGTTTCTAAAAGCAAGGAGTTTTGTATCACTTGCAAGGTTGGATAACTGCTGTTGATTTAGCGAGAACTACTTTCATGTTAGTGGTGGAGATAATGTTCTAGCTGTTTACTTTATGCTTTTTCATTTATCATGTGCATGTTACCTTTGGCATTTTGTGTGATGAATTGAATTTTGAATCTGAAACTTTGATAATCAACTTTGTTATGCATTTGGTATTTTATAGTAGCTATGTGTTGCTATCAAAATGAATTGAATGATTTTGGCATGTGTCAGTTCTATCTGCTTTTCATCTGTGCAATCTCAACATGAAAAAGGGAAAACTGGAAAAGCACACCAATCCATCCATGTTTTGTGTTACTTGAACTTGAGTTATACAAGGTTGGTTCTTCTCAAGTGCCTATGAACTGATGAGTTGATGAATGATGGCATTCCATGCACGCATGTGTAGTGTGATAACCAGGCTTGACTAGAATGGGAATATCATCTATTTTGTAGTACTATGTAATCTACTGTACAACCCCCCCCCCCCCCCCCTACTATAATAGGATGGGGTTTGGTTTTTGCTGTTCAGTTTCGTTTTGAATGTTTTGGTGCTGCAACATACCCTCTAATCAGCATGACTTGTTCTGATCCAATTTAAGCACTCACTGCATTTGAATGATCGAATAGCTCTTTTTCATCTTTATGTAATGTACCCATCTTTCTGTGATTTAGGTCAAGTGATTAGTTCAGATTTTTCCTTCATTTTCTTTAACATCATCCTCTCCACATCAAAATTATTCTACCAAGGTTTTCAATGTGATAGTAATAATTCTGGAAGCAATTAGAAGATATTAGTCCTATTTTTTACTCCCCGTGCTTTAATAATGGCCCAAGTCATTATATTTGGTTAGTAAATTTCAAATAAATTTAAACAACTTGAAACCAAAGATTAAGGATTAAATCTTTTACTACTATTTTTTAGCATTCGTAATTTCACAGTTTTTTTTTTTTTTTTATTGTTTTGAAATCACTTCTTTGTTTGAATATTAGGCTTAAAGATTTTAAAATTACACAGTATATAATAACACCCCTTGACGTCCCAACCCTTAAACCAAACTCCAGATAAGAAATGAGCAAAGCAACGGAAGCCTCTTCCTTCCGTCGTCTAGTCGGCCTTTTTACATCTTCTCTTTCTTCAACTACCGATAACAACATCACCACCGCCATAACCTCCTCTAAATCCAAATCCGAAACACGCAAGCTGCAAAAACTTGCCAGCAAATTCAAGCAATGCTCCGAATCCAACAAATTCCGCAACAACTACAAAAAAACCTACGCCTTGACTGTTCACCGCCTCGCGTCGGCAAAACAATTCTCTTTAATCGATGACATCCTCCAACACCAAAAGAAGTACAAAGAAATCTCCCAGGAAGGCTTTGTAATCCGCCTCATTACGCTCTAAGGTAAAGCAGGCATGTTCGAATACGCCCAGAAACTGTTCGATGAGATGCCTGAACTAAAATGTGACCGTACGGTGAAGTCATTTAATGCCCTTTTGTCAGCGGTTGTTCATTCAAAGATGTTTGATAAGGCCGGAAAGTTGTTAGAACAGTTACCAGAAAAGGTGGGAATAGAGCCTGATTTGATTTCTTATAACACAGTTATTAGGGCCTTCTGTGAGATGGGTTCTATGGATTCAGCGTTTTCAGTGGTTGATACATTGGAGAAGAAGGGATTAGGGCCCGATATAGTTACGTTTAACACGCTGCTTGATGGGTTCTTTTCTAAGGGTCGAATTACTGATGGAGAGGAAATATGGGGTTTAATGGAAAGGAAGAATGTTGTTCCTAATATTAGGAGTTATAATTCAAAGTTAAGAGGATTGGTTAGTGAGAATATGATGTTGAAAGCTGTTGAGTTGTGGGAGGAAATGGAGAGTAAAGGAATCCAACCTGATGTTCACAGTTACACTGCTCTGATTACGGGTTACTGTAATGATGGGAATTTAGAGCAAGTGAAGAAGTGGTATAGTGAGCTGAAGAAAAGTTTTTTACCTGATCGGGTTACTTATCTTACTCTTCTTTCGTTCCTGAGGAAGGAGAATGAGTTTGAAATGGCACTTGAGCTTTGCAAGGAGGCTATGGATCGACGGCTCATTGCTGGGGCTGCATTCATAGATGGATTGGTTAAAGAGTCAAGGATCGAAGAAGCTATACAACTCGTGGAATCAGGCTTGTCGCGATATGCTTTGAAGCTGAAATTCCCTTCGTAGGACTTGAAGATATAGTTACTCACAACTCGTATGCTTGTTCTTTTATTTTATTTTATTTTATTTTGCTCGTGTTCTATGCTTGTTCCAGTTTATCTTATTTTCAATCTGGTTTGGGCGTCATACTTGGCCAGTTTAACCAATGGTGCTTCGAAAACATGATGAATGAGATGGATCTCGGTTTGACCCATGTGGTTTTGTTTGAAACTTGAAGTTGGATTGATGCAATAAGAATCAAGGACATTGACAGAAACAGGACCGCCATTTAACTGTTCAAAGTATTCATATGGATTTTCAACTTTGCACTGGTCAAACAACAATTTTTTGTAGCCCACTGGCTTCATTTTCGTGGTGGCTTTACTATTACACTCTCTCTCTCGATAACTCAATCCGTATTCGATGAGTTTCAATTTAATTCGATTTTGTAAGATTAATTTTTTTTTTTAAATATAATTTTGAGTCGAATCAAATAAGGTTAAGAAAAAAAATTAAAATTAGGTCGAATTTAAATTTTAGGTAAATTTAACCCAATATGATATTATATAAAAAATTATTTTTTAATTATTTATTTATATATATTTATATAATTATATATTTAAATATTTATATTTAAAAATTATATTTTATATTTAAAATATAATATTTTATTAATTTCAAATCGAATTAGATACAATTTATACAATATTTGATTGAGTCAAATACGAAAAATAAAAAAAACTTTTGAATTGGGTTCAAATTTGAAACATATAAAAATTAAATCGGGTCAAGACAAATAAAAATTTATTTCGATCCGATTCGTCAACTCTACTCTCTACTATAGCTAGCATTGTGCTGCCGTTGTGCTGCGATTACATTTTTCTTGTTTAAACAGTAAAAACAAATATAACAACACAGTCAAAAAGATCAAATATATAATTAGTTACAGGAAAAACAGAAGATAACAAATCTGTGCAAAGTTTGCAAAAAAAAAAAAAAAAAAGATTTACTTGATTCCCATAAACAAAATGCTAGAGCTAGTGATATCTCTATGTTTTAGCACATAAAATGTTCAAACTATAGTACAGAAACTCACGTAAACAAAAAGTTAGAGATATCCCTAATTGTGTTCTAGCATATAAAAGATGTAAACTCCTGTTTATTTTTCACCAATTAGCATTAGACCAACATGATTTTAAATTAAACATGTAAAATAATCATGAAAAAATTGAAAACAAAATCTAATTAAAAGTTTCAAACTACAAACATAATTATCTAAAAATGAGTACATATTCGCTACTTTAGTAAAAACCAAGCATGGAATATAATAATTCTTATCCTACCATTTCATCGCTTTGCCTGTCAAACACAACTAAATTGCATTTAAAAGTACTGCAAATAAAAGCACTAAATTGGCAGGAATAAAGTTATATGGAAATATTGTACTACTCATGTATCAGAACACATTGTCAAACAATAGGAAAAAAGATGTAAGAAACCTACTCTTGGAGTTTGCAGAAATCTCATCAGCCAAAAAAAAGAATATTTTTATAGTAACGCAGGTCTGCCTATTGTGAGTAAAGCTGTAGAGAATCACAAAATTAAGATCTTGGAGAATCACTCAAAATAGAGTCTACAAAGATTTTTCAACAGTATATCAAAGCCAAATAAGTCGACGCAACCTAATAATTAGCTTGTCTTTTTTTTTTTTTTTGTACTTAGTAAAATCATGCTAAGCAATACACCTTTTGATGTTTGCAGCCTCATGCCATTCAACTGTTTTACCTCAATATCATTATTATATCAGAAATGGTAACACCCTCCTTCTATTTTTCCCTTTTAAACATATTCAAACCATTTTATTTTCTCTTTCTTTGAGCTACAAAAGAGTTGGTTAAGATTAACAGACATAATAATAATAATAATAATAATAATAATAATAATAAGCGAATGATAGAAAAAATTTTCATTTTACATGTCATTTAAAAAAAAAGATAAGAAAAACAACACTCAAAATGAATTTAACTATAGATCATGATTATGAATATATGTGTGTGTGTGTGAGAGAGAAAACATCGTTTTGCAGAATCAATTTGTTATGACCCATATCCCATATAAAATTCAAAACATTTTAATTAATAAATGCAACTATGAAGTACTAAAATATAAAACCGAGTGCAACAATAGCCTTATTAACACCTTTTATTCAAAATGTATCATAGTAAAGTCAAATGCAATCAATTGACTTTGTTTAAATCTTATAAGGTGTATTATTCAAAATAATAGAATTTTCAAAAGTTTCTAAACACAAGCATAGTTTTCTACATCATGGCATATATATTATGCATAGTAGTTATAGTCTCATGATTTAATATTTAGCCATCCATGAGATTAGCAAAATCATGTTGATGACAATAATGACTACATATATATATATATATATATATATAAAAACAATACAATAAAATCTAAGTTGAACGAATTAAAATTGTAATAGGATTATTAATCTTCTTGACAACAAAAGTTCAGTTTTAAAATTAATTTTATAGATTTAATTAATTATAAATTTGAAGGCACAAAATAAGCCATCTTTATAAAATATATAGGACTATCTAAGGCTGATATATAAATTCTCAAATCGACTTTGAATATTCAAAAAAATTGATATCTTATACATTTTACAAATCATTTTGTGCAAATATTAAATTCCCCGCAGATAGCAAGATTAAGAAATTACATTGCAAGTAAGATTTCAATAACCTAGATATATTTTATCTCAATATTTAAACTGTCCCTATTTTGTTTTACGACTTTATTAGAATAATTCACAATATACAAAACTAAACTTGATAAATCAACCAAAATGAACTAATATAAGACAACCAAACTTTAACCAATAAGCATTCTATGGAATGAATTTAACTGATAAAACAAAGCATTAGCTATCAATACCATAAAAAGGTATTGTTCAAGCCTTGTCACTTGCTCTGCTGGGGCACTGTTGCATTTCAATAAGAGGCTTTAGTAGTGGAGAAGCGTGACTATGGAAGCTTTTGGGGTATGCTAAAGGTGTTGAATCAAGAGCACATGCAATAAATGATAGTAGAGCAATTTTGGTGTCAAAAATTGAATTGGTCTTGTCTTATCAAGTAGGAATTTTTCAATAAACAAATAAAAATAATATAAAAGCCAGGAAAAAAAAAAACTGATTTGAGATATCTCAAACCTAGATAGCATTAA